TTTTTTTATTTAGGTTTTTGTAGTACCAGGGATTGAACTCAGGACCTTGCACCTGCCAGGTGGGTGCTTATACAATAGCTCTATTTAAACAGGGCAAAAAATTGAAATGCCTCACTGAAAAAAAAGTGCAAAATAATATATGAAAGTATAATGTATGGGAGGAGTGTATACCATGCCATGCTACTGCTCTATTAGGACACACAACTCCTGGTGATCCTGGTGATCCTAAACCCAGATTCAGTAAAAATATGGTTTAAAAGTAAACTGTTTGAAGGCGAGAATTCATCAGCATGTGTAAGTTAGCTGCTCTGGACTAACGGATGCCAGGTTTTATAGGCAGCGGTATGGCAGAGCAGAAGTAGTGGGGGCGGGGGGAGCCCTTATTAACTCTGAAGAGGAGAGCGCAGGGAGATGGGCAGATCCTCTGACAGGGAGGCTGAGACTTTATGAACTTTTGCTGGGGGTGGAGTTTGAGGAGCAGGTTCAGTGACACACAAGGAGCCAATTGGAGGCTCCCTGGTGTGGAAGGGAAACAAAAGGAAGTTTTATCCAGGGCTGGAGTGGGGAAGAAGGAGGAAGTAGTTATTGGGAAGATTGTGGTTTTAGCCATGTTAGATTAGGGCCATGATAATGTAGTTGTCTGTACTTGGGCTGCAATCTATCAATAGGGAATATTAAAAAGGGAAATATTCCTGGGTTTCTTGTCTGCAACTCTTTTTATTGAGATCCTTGAAGGCTTTTGGAATCTGACTCCTTGGCTGTCTGTGGTCCTTACCTGGATTCTTCTAGTCATATGACCGGGAAGACAAGATTATGGGAGTGTGTGGTTATGAATGAATAGGTTTAAGGACAAGGGGTTAGTGTGTGACTCTTAGGCTAACTGAGCAACTTGGGACCTTCCAGAGCTTTATTTCTTTGTCTTTGTCTTTGTCGTTTTTGATCTTTGAGACATGGTCTCACTGTTGCAGGCGGCTGACTTAGATATAAATATTATAGGCAGGCAGACAGGGGCAGGCCTTCAAGGAGACATTATGGAAGACAAGGTGACTTTGCAACTTGGAAGAAAAAGACACTCCTCACAGGGGGCCAGACCTCCAGACAAAACAATAAAGAAATGTAGCCACATGGTTCCCTAGGAATGGATACCAGGGATTGATATTCTAAATATGGTATCAATCACTTTGAAGGAGCTCAAATGAGTCACTAACCTAACCTCCAACAGGAAGAGACCCTGTCCTGGATTCATGCCCACTTGCTAAATTACTTCCCCATTTGGTACTGGATTTAATCAATTTTACCTGTGTAATGGTGCTTGTAATCTCATTGGTTGACCATAGTTTTGTCCCACCTCATGTCCACCTAAGCAAGTTCCCATGTTCTCCACCACCTTAGACCCGCTGCACCGCATGGTTTTCCTCTATAAAAGTCCCTGGAAGAGATAGCTTTTGGGGACCACCTGCTCTGAGGCCCCCCCTTCTGTCCCTCTCTAGGACAGGGGCTGTCTTTCCCCCAATAAATATATTCTGTTCGTTGCCTTCGTTTGTTCCTAAAATTCATTCTTTGGTTTTAGAGGGCATGAACTCCTCCCAGGTACCTTTCAGGTCAGGAGTTTAATTTTTTCCCTATATCCTTTGGAGGTTATCCACAGAGATCATTTTTCTCCTATATCATCACTATGCAGTTCAGGCTGGCCTTGTGCTCACTTATAGCCCAGTCTTGCCTCCAACTCACAATAATTCTCCTGCCTCAGCCTCTGGAGTGCTGGGGTTATAGGCATGACCCACCACACTCAGCCTACCTTTGTGTTTTAGTTGATTTATTTTAATCTGTAGAGGCAGAAGAAGAAGCCTCTAGCCACCCTTAATAAATCTATTAACTTTTAACAAAGGTCAATGAGACCTTCCTCTTGTCATTTCTTTAAAAGGATGCTCAACATTTGTTGTAAGTATTCTTGGGCTGGAGATACAGCTTGGGGTTGGGGGATGGTAAAGCACTTGCCTGGCAAGCAGGTGGTCCTGAGTTCAATTCCCACACACACAAAAGATATTCTTAGGAGTGATTTGTAAAGGCAGGACTAGAAACCTGAGTGTCCATAAATTGAGAATTGGGTTGTAGTATGTCT